TTTACGAATTTTTGAAACGCTGTATCTCCAAAACTATTAGACTTACAGAGCCGGTTAAGGGCTTGAATTGTCACAAATTTTGTCTAGTTTAAAAAAGTATACGACTGTAATTACTTTATCGCACAGGTCTTTCAATGTCGAAAACTTGGATTTTTCACATCCATACTCAGCCTAACAATTTAAAAAGAAAAATAGGAATGACACATCTGCTGCAAGGTATTATGATAATTTGACTGGACTAGTAGAGGCATTCAACAAAATGTTTTATATTGTAGAATTATGCATTATCAGGTCGCATTTCTATAGACAACAAAATGTTTTTAATTATCTTCAATTCAATGCGTGATGTCAAATACACTAGAATTGAAATAATCTAAAAAATGTTCGCTAATTTAATGGACAAATTAAACAATGCAGCGTTTGCATAATTTTCACATTTCTATCCGCATTTTTATTTCGTGCTCTAAAGTTACGGAATATTTAAGTGACTATTATTACAATCTACCCGCGAATCTTTCGGAACACCCTCTGTTAATTAAACAATGTTCTGTAACGTATGATCGTTGTGAGAAAGGTTCATTTTTCTAAAATCAAAAGTGTTATTCCGCCAAAGTTTGCTTGTTTAATTTGAACAGTGAAAGTAATGAATTTTATTGTTTGTAGTTTTTTTGTGCATGACCTCAACTTACAAATAAGTGTTAGTGAGATGTAAAGACTGGATCGGAATTCCTGAGAGCAAGAATAACAGGCATGTTACCAACCTAATTCATAATCTGTTATTAACTCACGCTATTATAGTGTTGAACAAGAAGAGGATCGAGATGACTCAAGAGTACCGTGTTGAATAAACCAATAAATGTTGTTTAGTACATTTTCCAGCTTTAGTGCTTTAAATTTTAAAGGTGATTCGGTTAGTTGTTAAAGTAATAGTAATGAAGATAATTATAATGGTTACAAACTCGTAGTTTATTATGAGTAGCATGCATGTTACTTTGTTGCAAAGTTAAGCCGTTAGAAAATAGAATCCTAATACCTAGAAATGAAATACGTCAAGACGCGATTGTTACGTTGAAACTCGATGCCTCAGCTTTCCATTAGCAAACTAAATGTAAATTGTAATTCGCAACTTTGTAAATAAGCCGAATGGGGAAAGTATCTAATCAGAATGGCTGGCCACCAACTTTTTGATAATGCGTCAGCAAATTAACTTAACAAAACTTCCTTGTTTGTGTTGCTACTTCCTATTCAATTTTAGAAGAGATGACTTTACCCACGCACGCTCCAATTTTTCAAAAAGCTATAATGATATAAGTTTCTGTGCAAGTCAAGATTAGGTCATAATTTATAAGCTTTAGATTGTATCGGTTTAATTAAACTTTTCCTATCCTCAAGTTGGATTGAAACAATAGTTTGCGTTAAAGATTTTTGTAGGTATCATGAAAAACGAACCCTTCTTGAAATATGACTTTGTATACAATTATTTTTGGAAGATCGAAGTGCAGGAACTGGAAATTTACGTATGTTGTAACCAAAAAAATTAAACAGGCACAATCAAGTGTAATTTTGTAAAAAAAGAAGACTCTGAATACATCAGCAGGTCGCTCTCAATGCTGAGCAATATTTAAATCTCATCCTATAACGTTTAAAACGCGAGAGTTAAAGCCCTAGATTGTTCCGGGAAAGGCCTGGGAACCGCTTCGGGATTGCAAGTTAGATTCGGGAATTATTTGGTCGACATTAAATAACAAAGTAGATTAAAACGTGTAAAAATATGGGTTGTGCCCAAATTCTGTTTTCTCTGAAGGCAATGGAAAAACAGGCGGCCGATGAATTTGATGAAGGGGTGCAAAAAGTTATGTTCGAGAATGAGCTCTTAATGAAATCAAGTTTTGCAACTCTTAACAACTTTTAAACCACAAATTTTCACATAAAATCTTCTTTAAAATAGAGGTTTTTTAATATGACGGAATTTTTATAAACTTTGTTAAATGACCGATGATGGCTAGTTCCTGCAATATCTTCTCAATTACTCACTTACACATTTTTAAATAAAAAACTAATTTTGTTCTACCAAATCTAATTTTCATGGCATAATAAAAACACACGCAATAAAAAAACTGATTCCAATATCTTCTAGAGGTTAAATCTTTAACAATTTAAAGATTTACATTTTCTTTAATAATCTGTAATGAGTTTCAAAACTAAGAAAATTTGTGTTAAAGATATCGTTAATTTGACATAAATGCATACTAAGGTACCTCGTAAACAGGACGTCCTTGTAGCTAATGCTACAATAATAAGGCTCAGGAAAGAATTTTATTAGAGGCGCCTCGAAATGAATGTGCTTTGAGCCGTTCCTTGTGGTTACTAATGCTTTGATTCTTGTTGACTTGTATCGTTTTTAATGGGTAAGATCTTAGTTCTTCTTTGACCAGCTGTAACTAAACCCTACCAAGATAAGATCATCTCTTTATCTACGACTCTCTGGAGCCTAAGACTTCCTAAAGATATTAAAAAAACAAAGTTTTATTGAACTGAAATACGTAGAATAATGGCGGTTGTTAATTCCCACCCCAGAATCAAGAATGATCGTACAAATTATCGGAAAGATCAATCCTGTAATTTTGATACCCTGCTCACTTCTTATAATATGTGATGCTAAACTGCTCTATCCTCAGCAATCTCAAAAATTCCATTATCTTTACATTAACCGTTTATTTAAATTTTCCATTATTCAGGAAATTTGTCCGCACGATTAAACGTTGTGCGCTGGTGCACCATCCTGTTGAAACCTACAGTTTTCAACTTTTGTTGGTGCCGTACCTCGTTGTATTCGCAATAAAGAATGCTACTTAATACAGTATGTATTTTTTACGGACCATATAAAAAAATAAAGTTAATGACGATTCCCCAAAACGAAACGTTGTTTTGCAAACCTCTCAAGCAGAGTTTTTCCCAGAGATATATCCAATTTTCCCCCACACAACAGAGGAGGGAGTCTCGTCATTGATGGTCGGGGTAAAGTTGTTTCAGCTCTCGGTTTTACTTTGCTTAATTGTGCGTCGTGTGACGGCCCTGCATTTTTCGAAGGTTATCATGTTTTCTAAACTTGGGCTCTTTTTGTAACGGCGAAAGGCTCTCTTGGAATCTTTGATCGCAGCTTTGTATTGTTTATATGCAAATACAAATCCGTAAAATCGATTCACTACCACAGACGTCAAATAGAAAGAGAAACCACTCCAAAGATAAATGGTGAAGCCAAAACACTAATCTCTTAAGCAGGCAGACAAAAGTCTGTAAAAAGTAAGGGGGTACCAAGAGAAATTTGCATTTAAGGAATGCGAAAGCAGAAACTTCACCGAGGTGAAACGAATAGAACTCCGCGCAAGATAAACTTTAGAAGGTAGGTATGGAATTAGACATCATGGAATACGTCTGCACGATCTCCGTCGGCGACACAAAGAACTATTGTAATAAGAAAAGTATAACACTTGGAACAAATTTTACAGAAACAACTTACATCTAAAGTAGTAGATTACAAAGTAAATACCGAGATGGCGTAAGAATATCAAATACCTATACGTTAGAGTAAAATTTTAAATTATGACACAAATCAAATAGAACCAGGAATATCAATCGGTAAGAAAATAACGTTACAATTTTTTTTATTGAAATTGGCGTTTACTGCGTACCTCCTCTCGCCTTGGTAATAATTCAAAAATTTTTAATTCATAAATTAGTTATGCTTAAATACTCGTAGGACTTTAGCAACTGTGTATACCACACCAACATAAAAATTTAAACTCAGTTTTTAAACGATTGGATTTTTGACATGAGACTTTTAATTACCTTTCAAGTTTCAATATTCCACTGCGTGGAGTGTCACTTTTGTGGTAGTTTGAACATTTTTTTTTGTTTACTTAAGCTTAAGGCACATCAACCTCAAACACGTAAATATAAAGATTCACATGTACCAATTTTAAAATATGGTTTCCCCTTGATATCCCTCTCCTATTTTTCATTTTCCTATTTGGCGGATTGGCACTCTTGCGGTAGATACGCGTATATGGAACTGTTGGTCCACGTTAGACGCCAATATAATACTAGCAATTGTGACCTTTTTCAGGAAAATGTTCTGTTACTAGAATTTCTCAGTTGCATCTTTTTGTTTCGTAATTATTCTTAAAGGAGGCCATCCTTTTCACTATAATATAATAATACATTTTTAAAGCCTTACAAATCATTTGCTCATTTCCCCAAAACACTTCCGTTAATTTTAGGAAAATGCATTCCGTTTTCATTGAAATTCGATGTAGTCTTTTATTTTTCGTATTGTCTCATTTTTCTTGATTTTTTAAAGACAAGAGAAAAAGGTACTAGCTAACTCAGCTAGTCACATCTAACTACAGATAGTAATATTTGGTTATATTCAGATTCTCTCTCGCTACAAGAATATTTCTTTCGCTAAGGTCCTGTATTATCAGAACACGTCAGTGGTGTTATACGTGCAGTAATGGAGATAAGTGGAACAGCAGACTGGAGCAGTATTAAACTCGCCCCTTAATGTAGATATTATTTGGTGGATAATAAAAGGCAATTTATTATTAAAATGTCAAGCTACACCTCGAAACTGAAAGTTGTGTTTACAACTAGAGTCCATGATCTAAAAAGATGGTGCGAGTGTGACCCTTTTAGGACTTTTTAAAATAGCTATCTGGCATTAAAATAGATTTAATTATCCAGTTCATAATTAATTAACGCGCTTAGTCACCGGTTTTAAATATATTAATTCTTATTTTCGTGACAAGTTAAATAATCTATTTGATTTGGTAACAAAGACTTGCAGTCGAGGTTTGTTAAATTACTTATTCGTGTAAAATCAGTTTAAAGGTATTATGTCATCTTTTGGTTTGTGCGAAATTATTCAGCAAATTATGTATTTCTGTTCGATTATTTTTTTATGTTACTGTAATAAATCCAGTGTCCTTACAATTATCAAAGGTTAATACCTATACATTATGCAAATGCTGAAGATGTTACCGGCTATATAAGCTCATCCGCTCCTAATTCTCATCACTCAGTACCTTCAGAGCCATTCAGCCATGTCCAAGTTGGTAAGTACAATAATGATCTATTTATTCATTGTTTTACAATTATAATTTCTATAGGTTATTGTATTCGCACTCATCTGTTCCGTTTTCGGTGCCGAAATCGGATCTGCACCGAAACATGCCGAACCCGAAGTGAAAGCTCCGATCGCGGCTGCTCCCGTACCAACCCCATACGCGGCCTACAACCCGTACGCGGTTCAAGGCTTCCCAGGACACTACCCATACCACCACGGATACAGCGGTTTCCCTTACACTCACGGCGCTTACAACGCCCACTACGACAAATCCGTCTACCCGTACGGCGCCCACTACGACAAATCCGTCTACCCGTACGGCGCTTACCAGCATCCTTACCACTACAGTGGATACCCGTACCCAACTGGAGCACCTCTCCAAAAATCCGCCGCCCTCGCAACTCCTTACTCGCACTTCGGAGCTCATCCTTTCGGCGCCCCAAGCCCCTTTGGATACCCCGGATACGGCGATTTCTCGCGACCAGCTCATTTTGGACGTAGCGTGGCACCTAAAGCGTAAATATCCCATCTATAACAACTCCTTTTAAAATGTATAGCCTTCAAAAATAAAGTACAGTAAATACATCAACGATTTTATTATTTTGAAAGGATCTTACCTTTTATTACCTTCGAAAATAATGCAACTGACATATAAACATTTGCAATGGTACAAGAAATTGCCCCAAATACCCAAGAACACTTTATTGAGCTATCCTGTTCTAGACAGTAGAAAATTTTAGAAGGCCCTCAAACCCACTACGCCTGCTAAAACACTGGGTTATACTTACAACTTTCATTCTTGTAAGTTACTCATGCCTATGTATGGAAAACTCTTCCAGAAAACAATGGTAGAGTGCCCTCGTCCATTATTTTCTCGCTTGTAAATACTCGTACTAGCAGGAAAATCCTGGTTGTATAGGCAGAATAGACGTTGGAAACCGCAACACAACCAATACCGGAAACTTTAAATGCCATCTTGAGATCCAAATTTTGTAAAGTGTGATGAACTTTTTGACAAAGTAATCTGGCTAATATGAATAAAAGGAAGCTGGATTTGCGCTTTTGATCGTTTCTTTAAAAGTTGCTACTCACTCAATTTCAAAAATTTTCTGATATAAAGAACTTAACAATACTTACGTGTTACATAATCCTAATCTTTTTTTTTAGCCAACAAAAGGAGAAAGTGTCAACCATTACTTTAGCATACTTAAGATCGATTTTGACAGCGAGCAATAAAAATAGCGTCCTTTATAGTGTGATGATAGAAGCGCGGCAGGTGTGATGACCAACTAATTATAATAATTTTGCGATAAATTCCCAGTTTAACGTTTTTACGACCAATTTTCTCCTCGGTTGTTATTTAAACGGTGTATTTATATTTCAGATTACACTTTAAATTTTGCCTATATTAGTTTATATTAAAGTTCTCGTAATATTTCCATATTTTTCTGTTAATCCTGATGGGAATGTGCTGATTAATTAGCTGTAAACAAAATTGCCATGAACTTTAATGTAGATGCTTATGATTGTAATCTTTCTTTGAAAATCAGAACACCTTAATTTACACAGGATTCGCAACGCTTAGAATTCCAACAATATAAAACGATTCAAGTCTCTTTAGTTCAAGCAGATCACTAGAATCATTACCTAAGACACGCATTTGGGATACAAATCAATTATTAAGGATTCGTCACTGGCCGGGTCAAGAAAGAAACTCAAAAATTTAAAAAAAAATGCTAAATTGTAGCTTTATGGAGAGTGGGTTTGGAAATAAAGTGTGCTCTCCTAAGTCGTCCTACAAGGCAGCATCTACTTTGTAGATCTTTCTGGAGAGTATACGTGTTGGTTAGGGATCAGCGGAAACCGTGTATCTATCGCACAATCTTTCAAGTGTCCTTAGGAGAAAGGACATCAGACTTTTGTGGGCGGTTGGGGTTGATCGCAACCCTTCAAGTGAGGTGCCTATAAAGTGGTATGACATAACCATCTATCAAACGTCGTCGGTCGGTTCGGATCGCTTACGACCCCCGCCCGCGACTTTACATCTCTATTAGTGGTTATCGCACCGGAAACTATCGGTTAACACTTGTTTTCCCAGTGATTTGTATTTATAAATTCACGTGTGCGGACAATTCGCGCCCGGACAATTCGCACCCGGATATTTCTGTAAATCTTTGGTTTATTAAAATTAAATATTTTTAAGAGGCGACTAGACGATTGCCTTTACAGAATGCATGTAGTAGTGCACATCTTGGTAAACATCTACTTCATGGAAAAATAATAGTTATTTGGTTTTTCATTTTCAACACATCGCGATTCTTAAGTATTTCCATTTCTTAAATATAATCACGCTGGTTTTTTTTGAAGTTGTATGAAGAGTCTGATATAGTTAAATCCTGTAATTTAAGAACACATAATTTTTATCTACTGCGCTTTCGTTTTGAGAAAATAAGAATAGGTAACTGAAACGTCTTTTGTGGAGTAATTAAATACCAAATAGTTATACCTAGTTATAGTATATCTACAATATTATGTGTAATATTCGCTACTTTTGAGACGCTCTTAATATTAAAACAGAATCAACATATATATACCGTACACAAACAAAGTGATAAGTCTAAAGTTAAAAATATTTACATTATAAGATCAAGATGAAAATAGAAAAAAGAAGTAACTTTAACGCTTCCTTACATAAAGATTTCTTAATGAAGACGCACATAAAAAATTGTTCTTTATTTCTTTAGTTGAAAAGGGTGACAAAGGAAATGAATCAAATTTATTTTAGACAAAACGAGTATGTACGAGTATAAATGACAATAGAACAATGCATTTCATAGATGGCACTAAATTTGGATAAGTAATTAAGATAATATTATAATTAAAGGTAAATTTGAAAAGACCCCGAAAACACAAATTGCACTTCATAAAGAAACAATAAGAGAAATATCGTAATTACATCCTTTCTATTATTTCTGGAAGATGAATAGGGTTTATTACAAGGTAAAAGTAATTAGGTCCGAAAAATCAGGTTTAAGTACGTATGACCACAACTAATATAGTATCTTCATTCTTGAACGTTTGATAGAGTCTTAAAATGTATCTGAGCACGGGTTTTGTTTTTGTGTATACTTTTTTTTTAATTTAAAAAAATTTTATTTCTGGTGGTAGTGTTGTGGTGGTGTTCAGAAAAGGTAAGTTTCCAGTTTTCTTAGAACCAGTTTTACGTTTCTTTGATCACAGATTTATATGGCTATATGTTGATTATTGGTGACTGAGTAAAATTACACTAACTGCTTATTTTTTTGCGTTATCTTTGCTACAACTATGATAGTGAATGAACTTAAAAGTTTCTTTTTGATTTTCTTACTGTTATTTATTTTATAGTTTGAAGAGATACATGGAAAAATTCTGGCAATTTTTTAAGAGATTGTTAATAATCAAAACAGTAAAGCTTTTAAAAATCTTGAAACGTTTTAGGAACAGATCGATATTGATGATTCTTTCTTTTAAATGTTTGTAATTATTAAGTAGGTACCTATATACTTCGTTTTTAATTTTTGTATGGCATACCTAGTACTAAAGCAAAACGCTTAGCATTGGTAATTGCGCAACAAGGAAGATAGGACATCATTGGAAAGGCTTTCCTTTTCTGAATTTGGCGAGACTATAATTTTTTAGATTTAATATTTTTGAAATGTTTTAAAAGTAAGTTGAGGGCGCGCTGTTGTTTATGTCATTGGAAGGATGTCGGGCCGATGACTATGTAATAGAAGCTAATGCGATCGTGCGTCAAAATTATGCACTTGCAAGTGGTATAAAAAAGAGAAAACCTGTATACCTGCAACGTCGAATGCGCTGGAAATGAAACAACTGAACCAAAAAAATTACATATCCGAATTCAGAGATGGGCGACCTTACCAACGATGCATCATTTAAGATTTTAAAGGTTGCACTGTCAGCGATCCGAGACAAAGACATTAGTGAGCAAGTTTTATTTTAGACACTGTTTCCTTCCATGATCAATTTGACGTACCAAAGCGTTTTTTGAAAATTATTTTAATTTACAGAAATAGCTATGTATGGTTTCTAATGCAACACCGTATATTATTTAGCTTCGGAGAAATAACACCAAAATCTCCCCATAAAAATTCTTATAATAATAAATGGGTAGATTTTGGTGTTATTTCTCCGAAGCTTCTTAAGCACCCCATTGAGAGTCATGGATCTTCACAATTTTAGTATATTATTTAAATAATAGCCGTATAATTTATAGCAAGATCAATTTTTTTCACGATATTTATCAACATTTTTTGCTTTTTTCGTTACTTTACAGTTCTTATCTCTTTAATTTTACGGAAACTCTCAAGAATCTATTTGTTTTACGTTCAAATATGAGTATAATTTACTTGAAATTATTATTATACGTATTTCGTTATGTGTCCTGTAAATGGACGACATCGAAGGTTAGAGAACTAGGAAACTTAACTTGCAGCTACATTTTTGTAGTTATTAAAAACTAGTGAAAAATTGGAGACCGAATTATTTCTATGCGAATTATAGGGATGCCAATTTTTCGAGTGCGAAAATGTACGATGCGGTGGGAAATGTGAACTCTCTTGACGATAGGTATGCTGGTGCAAAAGTGCCCAGACATCAAAATCTCAGGGGAACAAAATTCTGGTGCGAATTATTCCGGTGCGAATTATCCGGGTGCGAATTGTCCGGGAGCGAAATGTCCGAGAGCCAATTGTGCTATAACCATAAATTCACCATTTACACTAAAAAATCCTGCTCCTCTGAGCCGATATGGTTATGGGAGTGTTGAATGCTTTTTTGTACGAACAAGACCAACAAGGATCTGAAAAATTGCCCAGAAAGCTTTCTAAGAGCCATTAAAAGCTAAAGGAAATCGTAACTGCTCTTGGAAAAGGTAGAAAACTTCACAAACGCGATAGAAAAAGTTTTTCATGATCTTCAAGTGCTTCACAGATCCGTTAATTCTTTTTGAGAAGCCCTTTATAGTCTAGGACAGCGGTTCTCAAACTTTTTTCAACGCGGAGCCCTATGATTTTGATTATTATTGAAGTGGAAAAAAATTTTACTCAAAGACATGTATTATCTTTATTTTTTACAACAGTATATGTATATAGGTATATAAGAAAATCACGATTATTAGTGGGATGAATGATATTGTTTCTTTGTAGCGCATAGTTTCTTGATATCGGGTTTATACTGTGTAGACTACAATACAATAAAAATAAGCGACACTATCTACAACACGTCGTCATTCAACTCATACTGCTAACTACGTACACATGAGGTTCAGACGGTTCATAAGTTGACGATGCGCTTGCGCTAATATTCCTCTCTCAGGCAACTGCCACCAGGAACAATATCGTTGCTCTTTTAATTGTTAGTTATTAACTTCAACATTCTATATATTTTAAAATATTGCAGTGAAGGTTTAGTCTTTAGTAGTTATTTTCTTCTACTTATTTTTAGTACCTACCTTATTTTTAAAATTTTGTTTACACGTGAATGGTTACGCGGAGCCCCTGTAAACCGTTCGCGGAGCCCCAGGGCTCCGCGGAGCACACTTTGAGAACCGCTGGTCTAGGCGATAAAGACATCTAACTGGACATTTTGAGGTGGAAAAGAAAAAAATGGTGGAATATGTTCAGTTAGGTGTCAGAAACAACATATTAAAAATCCCACCCCCAAGACCCTGTGCTAAAGGCTCCAGCCACCCCACCATCCCCCAAAAACCGTGTTTTCGCTCTTTTTGGCTGATATCTCGCGATCTATGAGGTCTATATGAAATATTTTTAGTTGAAAATATATCTCGGGAAATTTTATGCAAGATAGATACTCAGAAGTTAGCCTAGGTGTACCTCTTAGCCTAGGAAATTCATAAAAGAGACGAAAAGCATCAATTTTCGTGGCTTTTTGCAAATATATCGCTACCTGTAGGGCTAGATGAAATATTTTTAGCTGAAAATGCTCCTCGTGAAATTTCTTACAAGGTAGATACTCAGAAGTTAGCCTAGGTGTACCTCTTAGCCTAGGAAATTCATAAAAGGAGACGAAAATCATCAATTTTCGTGGCTTTTTGCAAATATATCGCGACCTTCAGGGCTAGATGATATATGTTTAGCTGAAAATGCTCTTCGTGCAATTTCATACGAGATAGGTAACTGAAGAGTTGGCGTAAAGTCACCTTTCACCTTCAACTTTCATGTGTGGGGAAATATTCATTGTAAAACAAAGTATTTCTATGTACCATTTATTCACGTAAAAACAGTATTTTCATATTAAAATATTCACACATTCATTTATACCTCAACGTAATCATTATCCTCTGCAGATTCCACTTCGTCAGGCTCTTCGACGTCCTCTAGTGCTAGTGGGTGGTCTGAAATTACCGACTCGTAGTTCTCCTCGCTTTCCGCTTTACCTGCATGGGTACCCTGAAACAACCACGTCGCATTTAGGCACGATGTTCCATGACACTGGACGCAGAATTCGTTCTTCAGACCTACAACAAGAAGTATTATGTCAAAAAAATTTTATAATTAAGTATACGAATATAATATTCTCTCGTGTGTCCTAACTCCTAAGTGTCGGGTAGAGAAGGTTTACCTGATTTTCTGAAACAGTTGCAAGAAATCAGGTAAACCTTCTCTACCGGACACTTAGGACACACGAGAGAATATTATAATCGTATACATAATTATAAACATTTTTTTGACATAATGCTTCTTGTTGTAGGTCTGAAGTGTAATGAACTCTGCGTCCAGTGTCATGGAGCATCGTGCCTAAATGCCACGTCGTCTCTTCAGGGTACCCATGCATCAGGTAAAGCGGAAGACGAGAACTACGAGTTGGTAATCTCAGACGACCCACTACCACTAGAGGACGTCGAAGAGCCTGAAGAAGTGGAATCTGCATCTAGTCTATAACTTTTGATTGAGAAGTCTGATCGAAAAAGTACGAATTGATTTGGATTCTACGCACCCAAATTAATAAGAAAAAGTGTTTCCCCGAGAAATTTTGGTGTAGTCGATTTTTGGTAAAAAAGGAAGGTTATACACTGCCTTTTTTTGAGCCCCGAAAAAAAATTGTCTCAGATCGACCCGGAAAAAAAAATTTTCTTATAGAATGTGGCCTGTAGAATCCATAATTTCAAACAGTTCCAAGATTGGGCTACTAGTTCAAAAGTTACAGCCCTTTGAATTTTTTTCAAATTGGTTTCTACTCTATAACTTTTGATTGAGAAGTCTGATCGAAAAAGTACGAATTGATTTGGATTAGTATAAGGATAATGATTACGTTGAGGTATAAATGAATGTGTGAATATTTTAATATGAAAATACTGTTTTTACGTGAATAAATGGTACATAGAAATACTTTGCTTTACAATGAATATTTCCTCACACATGAAAGTTGAAGGTGAAAGGTGACTTTACGCCAACTCTTCAGTTACCTATCTCCTATGAAATTGCACGAAGAGCATTTTCAGCTAAATATATATCATCTAGCCCTGAAGGTCGCGATATATTTGCAAAAAACCGCAAAAAAAAACACGAAAATGATGATTTTCGCCTGCTTTTATGAATTTTCTAGGCTAAGAGGTACACCTAGGCTAACTTCTGAGTATCTACCTTGTAAAAAATTTCACGAGGAGCATTTTCAGCTAAAAATATTTCATTTAGCCCTAAAGGTCGCGATATATCTGCCCAAAGCTACGAAAATTGATGATTTTCGCCGCTTTTATGAATTTCCTATGCTAAGAGGTACACCTAGGCTAACTTCTGAGTATCTACCTTGTATGAAATTTCCCGAGAAATATTTTCAGCTAAAAATATTTCATATAGACCTCATAGATCGCGAGATATCAGCCAAAAAGAGCGAAAACGCGGTTTTTGGGGGATGGTGGGGTGGCTGGAGCCTTTAGCACAGGGTCTGGAGGGTGGGATTTTTAATATGTTGTTTCTGACACCTAACTGAACACATTCCACCATTTTTTTCTTTTCCACCTCTTAATGTCTATTTTGCCAATTTTACAGTCTCTATCGCCTAGAGTCTAGACTATTAGGCGATTATTCTATAAGATTCTATAAGAGAAGTGGCGTTCCCTTAAATACTCCAGAGAACGGTTCGCAACCGTTGGAAAAGGTGTACGTCTCTTTACGCTATTATTTTATTTGGATAATTCACCCTATTTGATTAATTGAAGACGTAGTTTGTTATAATAATAGTAATTCTGTACAACAACCCTTTAGTATTAAATATTCCGTGTTACGATCCATCATGGAACCATAATTTGGACAACTAGGTGTTTTTGTATTATTTTATTGATTATCTGAGCTTTTGTTCGATTATAAGAGCCTCATCGTTTCCTGTTATTCAATTTTTTTGCAAAGCAAGTGAACTTATAATAAATTGAACTTTGCAAATCTTGTTCCGATTTCCATAAAACAAATTGTAAAGTTCAAATCCGTATCATCTTCTTGTTATGCTAATTGTTTTTATAATCAAATCGTAGCAAAACCTACGGATTACGATTATTAATATTTGCAGTAATGCATTTTTCTATTTACTTGTAAAATGTTAAGTGAAACATGAATTTTAAATTTCAAGTAGGTACTTGCGGTTGTTATTAATATAATAGTGAACTTTTGCTAAGTACGAGTAGAACACGATTTTTTTAATTTTATGTAACAGTGACTAATAAGTGGTATCATCCGTGATTCTGAATCTATAATGTGGGTAAAAAGTACTAATTTATGGTTCATGGAAATGGTAATTTAGAAGATGAGAACTATATAAGGTACAATCTTTTCTGGATACTGCATAGATCGGTAGCATCTCCAACAATGTACAAACTCGTAAGTATCTCAATATACTAATAATTTTGTTTGTATCCTACTTGTTTATTTACAGTTCGTCTTATCCGCCGCCTTATTGGCCGTCGTCTCAGCAGAGCCCGAGGCTAAACCCGACGTTTCCTCGGTGCACGGTGTCCAGCCAGTGGCTCCATTCACCTACGGTCACCACCCCCACGGTGATGTACTTAAGCACTACTCCACGTACCACCATGACGCTGGCAAGTACGGAGCTTACCACCCTTACGACAAATTCGCCGCCTACCACCCCCATGGTGATGCACTTAAGCACTACTCTACGTACCACCATGACGCTGCCAAGTACGGAGCTTACAACCCTTATGACAAATTCTCGGCCTACCATCACCCAAGCCAATATTACGGCGCCCACCATTACAGTCATGGACTTCATGGATACCCTGCGCATCATGAAGCGTACACCGCCGGTTACCCGTACCATGCTGGTGCCTTCCACCACTACAACAACCCCCTGGTTCATCACAAATATTAATTGTACTGTCTGAAATAAATAATCTCAATTAAGAAAACGTTATTGCATAGGTTAATTACGCCAATATTTATGTTCAGCTATTTCTGATCACCTCCATGTTTGTGGTGGCAGCGGCTAATCCCGGAGAGATGATAAAATCAGATCACGCTGGTAAGCATTATCTTCATAATGGACATCACTTCCACCATGCAGTTCCCATCGTTCATGTCGTTCACGGGACTCGCTTTAAAGGCCACCCTTATACACATCACGATTTTAAAGTCTGGTATCGAGTGTAGGAGTTCTGAAGGAAACTTTACCCTCTAAAGTTAATTGAATTTCATCCGAAGAAACTCATTCAAGCGATCTACTGTTTCCTAACAGAAAACCATGGACGCGAATTTGATTATCCTCTTTCCTGACGACGATCCAACAGAACCCCTCCACACCTAACGCGTTCCCGACAATAGAAATTGGAATTCAAACAAGACTGAGTGGTCACTAGGCAAGATGGCCTTGCACAAGCGCCAAGAATCTCCAAAAACAAAGTTCCTGGACTGGACGAAATTCACCAAAACGTACTAAGAAGAATTTGATTTCAATCAGTCTTCTGCTTCTGCCTTTGCTCGACCAAGACAAGTAGGGCAGTGGTGGAATTCCTTTCTTTGTTTTTAGAAAAGGTTAATTGCAAGAAAGGTTGCTGTATTTGAATTCCATTTTGAGTAAATTTTTGAAAATAAATAGTGGAAGGAAAAAAATAAAGTTTGGAGAAGTCGAGTGTATTTTTCCAATTAATTATCATACAAACGTAAAGGAGAATATACTCTAATTAAATTGAAGAATGTGTGGGATCATGAAACTTCAGGGAAGGTGCACGAAAGACGGGCCCCAGAAATGCGTCAGCATTTTAAGGAGAAATTTATCAGAAAACGAACTTGCCGGGGGTGGAAGGGAATTGTCCAGAGAGAATTTTATCATAGAGTAAAATTTTAGAGCTGGGCATGCAACAGCTTTTTAAAGCAGAATATTCTTTAAACTGATCTTAGGAGGTGAAAATTCATTGACGTGAATTTTTGCTTGTACTCCGATGATGAACTTGGGAAAGAATTCTCATGGGGGGAGGCGGACAAAGTTTGAAAGGCGAACTTTGTCCCAAAAATAGATGGGGCTTTAAAAATGAAGGAAGGCAATGGCCGAGTATGAATCTTCCTTAACACTTGCAATTTTGAGGATCAAGGTGCGTTCTAATGGCGAATTTACCGAAGTTTCCTTAAGGGAAAATCAACGAAAGCGAATTCACAGTATTCAAAGTATTTTTTGTTAACGTAGTCTCCCATAAGCTCAACAGAGTTGGACTGGGTCACTGGGTCACCTGGGTCACTGAATTAAACTGGGTCACTGGGTCGCTGGGTCACGTCATATTCTCTTCAGTTAGACTCAGTGACCCAGTTTGACCCAGTGACCCAGTTTGAGCCAGTGACCCGGTTTGAGCCAGTGACCCGGTTTGACCCAGTGACCCAGTTTGACCCAGCGACCCAATTTGGCCCAGTAACCTAGTTTGATCGAGTAACGCAGTTAAGTCAGTGACCTCGGTTCAAGTGTACAGATTATGAAATAAATGAAACTTAATGCTGGTTTGTTGAAAATAATACTCGATTGCTTGACAACTGCCATTTCTGTGATGTTTGCTTTAATACTGCCGTAAAAAACCTTCCATGTCCCGAATTGTATTATAGTAATATTATTTCTAAACAGTTCCTTCCTTCATTTCTTCGCTTCAAGGCTTACCAGTTGCTTACTGGTGTTCATTAATTTTCTTCTACTAGTTAGCTTAATCCAAATAACGGTTTAAACTGGACCACCGGGTCAAGATGGGTCACCGGGTAAAGCTGGGTCGAGATGGGTCACTGGGTCAAGCTGGGCCACAGGGTCAAACTGGGTCACTGGGTCAAGCTGGGTCACCGGGTCAAGCTGGGTCACCGGATCAAGCTGGGTCACCGGGTCAACTGGATCACCGGGTCACTGGGTCACCGGGTCACTGGGTCACTCTATGCTTGACCCAGTCCAACTCTGCAGCTCAAAGCATTTCAGCCAGCGCTTCTCCAACCCCCCAATTTTCGTATGAAAGTGATTTGCTTGGAGCTTCTCAAGTAGGTGTTCATTTTGACTTTCAAGGTCTGCAGGTCCCATTTATACAGGACAACATGTTCGTAGACGATTCATTCTTTGATGGAGTCGAGTGAGGAGATCTCTCCTCTTTCAAAGATTTGTTAGCTCGGGACTCGGGACACATTAATTTTACAGACGATTTACCCTAAATTAAGCATTTTATTGGGACCGGATTTTAAGCAACGAAAACAGGCAATATTTGCAGATAAAATTTCTCTCCTTTGTTTTTAAGCTGAAATGTGGAGCCTTAAAACAACTGTGATTATCGTTGTGCTGGTTGTCACAAAATTTTGCCTCAGTCCTTACCTCAGCATTAACTAAACCTGCAGGGGCTGGAAGAATCATGGTTGTATATATATATCGTTTGTTATATTCACTTTTACCACAAGTAAGTTAAGTGAGCTGAAAAAAGTGTAAAGATCGAAACCCTCTGGTTCTTTAACCCGATCTCTGAGGACGACGAAGATCCGCCTGTCTCCGCAGAATTGTCACGCTCTGTACCTATAGAAGCGTTAATACATGCAGCTAACGAATTTAATTAATTCAATTTAAATAAATTTGAAATAACACCCCGCAGACGGAACCCCCAAAGTTCCCGTACATATATTTCAATTTGCAAGTCCAATGCCAATGGTAGGGAAAGGTTTTAGAAGTTGTCTGGCCCTACTGTTTAGTACAGTAGCCTGCAGCAAATACTCAACTTTACCATTGAATAGGATCGTCATGTACTTTGTTAAACTGAGCCTAAAGTGGAAGCTAAGCTTTAACGTTACCATCGAAAGTTTTAAACTATATAGCAGGCAGTTACAATTTAAACCTTCGCTTACATATCCTACTGCTGGGACCTGGTGTTGGAAGATGCGCAGGAGCCGTCTTACTCGATGCCATATTTATCGTCGTTTTCCTTCAGGTATCCATTATATTCCAATTTCAGATGGAATATCTCTTTTCGTATCCGTCATTCTAGAATGTGAGCGCGTGTAGAAATTTTCTTGTAGCTCTCCACGTAAAAGATGAAACTCTTCTGTGACTATTCATCGCGTTTTCCTAATTAGCCTCATATACATCTGAGTTACTCAGCTGCAACAAATTGGTGAAGCGTAGAGCTTTTTCGAGTGGTTCGCAGATCATGGGAAATTTGTTGCATGTTTTTACAGTTTGCTCGTTTGTTTTCATCGTTCTTCTAACGTCGGGATGTCGCTAAAAATTTGAAAACCGCTGTTTTAATGCCGAGCTAGAACGTTATTGACGCTTTCTATATAATAAATTTAGTTTGCTACAGCTGCCATAATCATACAATAGCTGGGAATACAATTTGACAAAACAGAACTTCAATTGCATTAATTGCAAAAAAAAAATATTGGATTGTAAGGCGTAATAAAGAAGTACCTAAATAAATAATGACTGGCCTCTTGTTCTCTTTGACTTGATGTGTTGCTTTTTAGAGTTGAGATAATCCTTGCCGGATTATCCATGTTCTGGTAAGGTATTTGAGTTGATTTTTGAAGTATATTTTTGATTGAGATTGGCCCGGCTCGATGTGAATTCTTTAGGTTTGAAACGCTAGTAAAAGGAATAGTTTAGTCTAGATATGAGTATTAAACATAGCATAATACGTGTACTGTTTTGATGATTTTGAAGCATTCCCACGGCCCAATTTCTGAGGTGTTCGCCAATGTTAATTACCCTAAGTCATCTTTGTATATACACAAATGTACACAGGGAACCGTTTTAATAGTCTTACATAAGAATCTAGCATGTATGTCAAGGGTACCCCATATATTTAGGTCTCAGCACACGCACTTTTAACATAATTTTCCACAATTAACTATGCATGGCAGTGTACAAATACAAATTATTAAAATGTTACCTATTTCAATAAGTCTTGACTTAGCTAATTGACATACGATACTGATATTATGCCGCCTTCAAATATTATAATTACCGACATGTTTACAGATACAATTTGCATGCTAATGACATGGTGCGTTTGTCATATTTTAAATATTTGTTACTCTTGAGCAAGATGAAATTCTTGACTAATTAACTAAAATGAATTACTTGATTCGACATACGCAATTGTATCACCTAGTTTTTTGAGGACAAATGCCTAATTCGGACAGCCAAAGGAAATGTATGTAAATTATTCGACAAGGGTTAGTATAAAAGAGGGCTACGGAATAAGCGTGATATAGTTTTGTTCGAAAACGCAAGTCAAAATGTTCAAATACGTAAGTAATTGCAAAGCTGTTTAATTTTGGTGATCGACTGTTTGTTACAGCTTGCCTTATTCGCACTACTCTTCGTCGTGTCTTTCGCCGAGCCCGCGGCTAAACCCGGACTGGGTGCTTTAGATCCATGGGCTGGGTACGGATATGGATATCCCTATGGTTACGGAGCTCTTCCATACAGTTACGGCCACTATGGGTACCCATACAGTTTTGGTTACCCTTATTCGGGCATCCTACACTAATTGCCTCACGCAGATCACAATTTGATGCAGTTTGATTGGTTGTTTTTCATAAACCTTATTGTTATCCGTTCTTTGTTTTTTATTTACCATCACCTTCTTTGCAAGAATTCAGTTTAGGGTTCCAGTTCCAGACACGTTTTACGTTACACACCAATAAATTATTGTTCGATGTACAAGTTGTATACGAGGAAGAGGAATAAGATTAAGATTTGGGGCGTTGAATGTTAGAACTCTTCTTCAAGGCGAAAAACTAGAAAATAAAGAGAAATGTTGGACCCTATTGGTGTCAGTGAAGCGAGATGGGATGTGGAGTATAAAAAGATGAATATTTGACCTATTATAGTGGATATAAAAAAGGAAGAGATGGAATGACGTTGATGGTTAATAAAACGGTACAGTCAAGCGTTAAGTAATAAACGAC